GTGAAATTCTTGCAAATGTTGAAAACGACTGTGCGTGACGCTAAGGCGCGAGCCACATTCTGAAAGCCACCCGCCCTCAATCTGCGAAACTCTTACAGAATTTCATACGAATGTGCGCGACGCTAAGGCGAGAGCCACATTTTGGAAGCGACCCGCCCTCCATCTGTGAAACTGTTGTCACTTTTTACGTTTCAGATTCATAAGTGGTGAGGAAGTTTCAGGCGAAACGCCCGGCCCGCCCTGAAAACTGGCCTCGGGGTGCGACAGGGAAGAGCTATCTATAAGGACAAGGGATGGAGGAGGAGGAGGAGGAGGAGGAGGAGGAGGAGGAGGAGGAGGAGGAGGAGGAGGAGGAGGAGGAGGAGGAGGAGGAGGAGGAGGAGGAGGAGGAGGAGGAGGAGGAGGAGGAGGAGCAGGAAGAGGAGGAGGAGGAGGAGGAGGAGGAGGAGGAGGAGGAAGAGGAGGAGGAGGAGGAGGAGGAGGAAAAGGAGGAGGAGGAAGAGGAGGAGGAGGAGGAGGAGGAGCAGGAGGAGGAGGAGGAGGATATCGCCACCCCATGAAGCAAACGGGTCCCTGGGGAAACGGGCCCGGGGTCTTCTCGTTGTGTTCGGCCTTTCCTGACCCTGCCAGGGCGGGGCCACCAGAAGCATTGCTCAGGGTTCGAATTGGAGATCAATTTCAGAGTTGTACTCCAAATTTATTTGCCCGACGAATATACAACAAACGCGTGGCAAGTTCGTTGATCAGCGGGACATTCTACGTACTTCTTTCGTAGGTTCGGCGGGACAATCAATTGTGGGGTACATAGATTATGTAGTCGATCCCCGAGTCGAAGGGTGAAGAGCTGGTCCCAGGGGGGAAGCTCCTGGGGTGAAGAGCTGGTCCTGGGGGGGGACCCCCCCAGGGTGCAGGACCCGTTCCAAGCAGGACCCGCTTCCTTCATGCCAAGCCAGAGGGGGTGAGTTTTGGAGGGAAGAGGGATAGAAGGAACAGGCGCGCGGCGCAGCATCAAGAGGACGAGGGGCCGGCTCCGCTGGAGGGCCGGGAGCGAGTCGTGAGGCAGGTGAGCACTTCTGGCTCAAGCTCAGGCGGGGATTGTGCCAAGGCTGCCCCCTTCCCTGACATCCGACGCAGCGAACAGATCGCAACATGGTGAACAAGTAACAGCCGGAGACCTGGACCCCGTCTTTTGAGTGCTATTCTTCGAGCCAGATCGATCTGTGAGGGCCCCGGGGCTCGAAGCCGGGCGAATTCGCCCGGCGCGAAAAAGAGGGGGCGCCAGGCTCTCAGGGAAGGCTGCCCGCTCCAGGCATGGGAGGAGGTGCCCTGCCGCGGCCCCTATGAAGGCTGCTGCGCGGCAATCCCTGTGGGAGCTGGCCGCCGGGGACGATGCGGCGGCCCTCGAGGCGCAGCTCGCGGAGGATGCGCACGGTGTGAATGCGCTGGGCGAGCGAGGCTGGACACCCCTGCACGTTGCGGCCATGAGCAACGCAGCCTCGGCTGCGAGAGTGCTGCTGAGGTTTCAGGCAGACGTGAATGCCACGAGCGGGCACTTGGCTCCCACGGCGCTGCACCTGGCTGCATGGCACGGCTTCGTGGAGGTTGCGGAGGTGCTGATCCGACACAACGCTGACCTCGGGGCCACTAATGCCGTCGGAGAAGTGCCAGTCGAGAAAGCGCTACAGCGCGGAAAACGGAGGTGCGCCGAATTTCTGGAGCAGAACTCGCCGAGTAGCCGCGATAACGCTTTCAAATTCAAGGGGCACATCTGTCAAGAGTGCAGGGTGCGATCTCCCCACGGGTGGCTCGGAAGCGGTCGCAATGAGGGCTTATGGTTCTGTCAGGGCTGCTGGAAGCAATGGTTAGGCGAGGACGTCACGCAGGTGGAGGGCTTGCCGGTGATGACCTACCGCGATTTTCGCTCGAAGGTGGACGCTGGTGCACCATGGCTGCTCATCGATGGCACGATCATTGATGTTTCAGCCCTCACGACAAAAGGCGACACTCTGCACAAGGGTGGTGGCGATGTACTAACGCGTTCCATTGGAGAAGATCTTACAGGATACTTCATCTACTATCATGCCAACATTCCTCGCATAGACTCGCTTCATAAACCAGGCATCAGCCATTTGGACCATGTCAGAGAAAAGATAGTTCAAAACGCGGTCGGCATCCTAGACACGCACAAGCATATGCCTCCACTCACGAGCTCTCGGCACAGATTTTGGGTTGAAAACGATGAGAAAGAACCCTACCACGAACATTCGTTGACTTCGCTTGCCGCTGAGGGTGTGGATGCCAAGACTCAGGTCAGCAACGCTCTCAAAGGCGTCGCGTCGAATAGCGTGGATGCTCGTGCTTTCTGGGCCATCGTGGGTTGCTTACTTGCTGATGCAGCAGCGCAACCGACACACTGGAACTACAAGCTCTCTTACTTCCATGACGACTTGCACAGACGCAACCGTTGGAAGACGCCCGAGTTCCTGCGGCCCAGTTTGAACACTTACTATCACATACCAATGGGGTCAAATTCCTGCTATGGTGAGCAAGCTCGTGAAGTTTTATTTTCAATTGTGGAGTGCGGAGGTTTGGATCCTCATGCAGTGGAGCGGCGTTTTGCGGACCGTTTTTCTGAAGACGGCGACTATGGGCGCTTACCAAGAGATGGACTGTACAACGGCAGCAAGCAGGATGTCCGAGAGTTACCAATCAAAGGTCCTTGGCGTCACATTTCTCTCGCCGGATTTCTCAAGAACGTGCAGCGTGGAAGTCATTACCCTGAATGTGGCACCAGTGATGCCCAAGCTGATTGCCTCATCCGAATTGTTCCTGTCGTTGCGCTGTACGCTGGGCATCCTGAGATGCTTGAGAAAGTTGATCAAGCTGTCCGTGTCACTCAGGACAACCCGCCAGCCGTAGCTGTGGGCCAAGCTTTCGCCCGTGTCCTGGAGGGTATCATACTTTCTGGCTGCAGCGGGTTACATGCCATCAGCAGCGCCGCTGCAGAGTTTGAACACAGCAGCAAGCGGACGCGTTTGGACGGATTTTATGGCCGTGTAGCGAGCACTATGCGGACATGTGCAATGCAAAGTGGCAAAAGTTTGTACGATGCCGTTCTTGATTTCGGCGGTGGCTCCTACAGCACTTCTCAGGTTAGCTGATCTTTACCTGGGTCTTTTCAGGTGCCACTTGTCAGCGTGGCGTCTGCAGATGACCAACACCGAAACTCTTACGCTGAAGCTGTTCGAGAAGCGATTCGTTTGGGCGGCTGAAACGTGTCGCGTGCTGCTGCCATCGGCGCTTGTTATGGTGCCTTGCATGGCGAAGCAGCTGTGGACGCTGATGGTCACGAGGGTGGCGTACCTTTATCCAAGCGTGCTGCCGCGCGTATCTGCTAACGCTGTCGGGGAAGCTGTGCAGCGACGCTATTGCAAGCACGGCAGTGGCGATTGCATTATCGCAATGCCTCGGGGGGGCCTTCCTGGGGGCTCTTGGGGGCCCTTGGAGAGCCTTTGGGGGCTCTTCGGGGGCCTTGTGGCCGCTTCAGGGGGGGGGAGGGCACTGCCGCCGTCCTGGGTCCCTGGAGCCGTCTTGGCGGGGCCTTCGGGCCGTTTCTGGCCAGTCTGGGACCGTCTCGGGGTGGGGGTTGGGTCATCAACCTGGGGTCTTCTTTGGGGGGGGTACGTGCCGTCTTTGGGGCGTCTCGGGACCCGTGGAGGCATCCATCTGGACCTCCAGGGCATTGTCGGGCGATCCAGGGGCTGCCTGGAGGCTCCGCTGGAGGCCACCTTAGCCCCCGCGGCGGCCGCAGAACAGAGGGGCACCGCAGAACACGTTTTCTGCCGGCTCTGGTGTCCGAGGGGCCTCCTGGAGGGATCCTCGGGGGCCTCGCAGGGGCAGTTTTGATGCACTCGGTCCATCTTTAGGGGAACGAAGAATGACACAAATATAAAAACTCGGAGGTCCGCGCGGATTTCTCGGGTCCACGCTGGACCCTTCTGGCGGCGCCTCCAGCGCTGCCCCTGGCGCGCTCCGCGCGCCAGGGAGTCCAGCGCGGATCCGAGAAATCCGCGCGGACCTCAGAGTTCTTATGCTTATGTCATTATTCGTTCCCCTAACCTTGGGAGGTCGTTGGGGGCGTTGGCCAGGGTGTGGGGGCCATGGCGTGCGGTCAGATGGCAGTCTTTGAGGGGAGCAGTGGGACTCGCAAAACGGCCGTCCTGGCCCCCTCTCGAGGTTGTCTTGGGCCTTCTTGGCGCAGTCGGTAGTCCTCGGGGGCCTCTGGAGGGGGATGCTTTACGAAGCCATCACGCCAGCATCTTCGTCGTATAATGAACATATTCGGCGTCCGGAGCGCCAAACCGCTGAGACTGGGGTTCTTGACGAGGGCCCCTCTTGAGGTCCGTCTCGCAGGGGCCTCTGGTGTTGCCTCTTAGGAAGCAGCTAATGGTTACAAGCTGTAATGGGCTTGACGTGCACCCGCTGCGCAACAAGCGCCGTGGCGGATCATGGTTATCCCTCCTCCATGATGGCGCACCGGTCCTCAAGGCAGCTCGCGCAGTGGTCGACCTTCGCAGGGTCATCAATGCGGAGGAGACCCTCGCTGGCGCATAATTCGAGGGGTCTCATACAAGCCCTCGAAAATCCGGTGTTCCCTGATACTCACACCGTTCTTCGGCATCTGTCAGGTGAGGCCATGAGTATTCGAGCCGTTCCTGCTCAGCAACACTCAAGGCTGATGGCGACCAGCATGCGCGGGCGACGTGGGCAGTAGTTTGCACCTGGGCTTGACCCCCTACAGCTTCTTGAATAAAGTATTTGCTCCATTACACTTTGTTTTTTCTGATAATACGCGCTTATGCTAAACATGCGCGTTTTGTCACGCGCGATTTTCGTTGCTGACAGGCTTCAGCGCAGTTTTACGTGAGCGCATGCTTTCGCTCCCCTCGATGCAGCCCGCATTGCAGTCTTCGGCTCAACATATTACGCCTTCGGCGCGCAGTTCTGTTCTGCCCCGCAGGAGCTTACGGTCTACCGTATCATCTGGTCTAAGGCTTATTGACGAGCTTACCCGAGGGGTCACCGACCCCAGGCTGGATCGGACTTTGGAAACTCTTTTGGGCCGCCGTGCCCACCAGAAAGCGCTAGCAGACGCCCCCCCCTCGGTGGCCTCTACCCGGAAGCTGAATACACTTGGGCGACGGCTTAACTTGCGCCAAGCTCCGTCATGTTTGGGATGCCGAGTCGGCGATCCGGCTGGCAGCCTTCGCGTTCCTCGCTCTCGCCGCTGGGAGTGGGCTCGCGCGCGCACGTGATGGGCCGGCCTCGGCGAGGGCTGGCCGAAACAGCGGCCGAGTCCCACCACAATGAGGACGCCGTGGTCGGTGCCTTGGGGATCCGAGGCCCCCGAGGGACCAGAACCTCTCGCGCTCCCCGCCGATGAGCATCGGGGCTGCGCACAGACAGCTTCCCCCCCCCCCCCGCACGAGGTGATTAGTCCTGGCTGGCTTTCCAGCAGGCCGCCCGAGTGCCCCAGGGCGTGCTCAGCATCCTGGCGCTGCGCCGAGAGGGTTGGTCGAGGGCAGAAACACGCTGACCACGACCAAGATGTCGCGGGATTCTTTCGACGCCGATCTTGGTCCTGGTCCATGCCGACCGTCGCCGACTCGCGAGGATGATCCACGAATAGACGCTGACCACAAGGGACGCAGACCAAGACCGACACAGGCCTTTCCGCGCTCAGTCTTGGCCATGGTCACCGTTTTCTTTCCCTCCAGTTGGGGGTGTCGAGATCGCCTCTGACCACACGGGCGGCCTGTTGGGTCCAGCCCAGGCTACCTCGTGGGGGGCTGCCTGCGTGCAGCTCCAAGCCTGATGCCGTTCCCCGCCCTCGCCGGTCCGACCGCCGCCGAAGTGGAGCACTGGCATTTCGTGGCGTCTCGACTACAGGCCACCCAAGTGTTGCTGAATTTATGGGGTCGGAGGATCGCGCCGCATCGCCGATGCATCGTCGGTGCATCGGCGAATCCGATTTTCTCTCCACGCCGACTTCGCCGATGCATCGACGACGCCGCCGATGCATCGCCGATGCATTGCCGATGCGATGCGATGCGGCGCGATCCTCCGACCCCATCTACGACAGCTCCATTTGGGATGCCTCCATCGACGGTGAATGTGCTCAGTAGAGGCCCGGTGCAATATTGGGTACAAGACCCCTGGCATTCGTCGTTCGTCTGGGGAGCACCTCGCTCGGGGCCGCGTCTATCGCGTCGAAGTATCGTCATTCCGCGGTTGCGGTCTGGTGGCTGCCGTGGAAGAAACATATCTCTTCTCGTGCGCATTTGTCTCCAGCCCCTGGCCCTGGTGTGGACGGGCAAGCCAATCGGCTACGCGTAAGAGTGACCCTTCGCTGGAGTGATCTTTGGCGCGGGTCCACAGGTGGCCCACCCAGCGCTGGCGTGCGCGATTGGCTTTGCCCCCCCCCCCCCCGCTCCTTCCCGCGGCCCCCTGACACCTTGCACATAAGCTCACTCTTACCCAGGTTCGCTTCTTGTTGCGTGGGTCCGAACATAGAGAACTAAATGACGCCATAAACGTAGCAACTCTGATATTCGCGCAGATTTCCTGGGACGGCGTTGAACACCCCCTCCCTGGCGTGGGCGGCGCTGGAGGCGTCGCCAGGGGGTCCAGGGCCGATCCAAGAAATCCGCGGGGACCTCCGAGTTGCTATGCTCGTGTCGTCGCTGGGCTCTCTAAGAACAAACCCCTTCCCGCGCGCATGTCGTGCGGGCGCGCCACGCGCGCGAGGGGCCCGCCACGCGGGTGCGCTTCTCCAGCCTCCTGGTGGTGAGGGTCGGCGTCGGGGGCGCGGAGGGGGAGCAGCCTTCGCGCTCCTCCTCCCCCCCCCAATGCGACGACGCAGGGGGTGATTAGGGGATCGCTCCTCCTCCTCTCTCCTTTCCTCCTCCCTCTCCCTCCCACCCCTCCCTCTCCCTCTTCCCCCTCCCTCTCCCCCTCCCTCTCCCTCTCCCTCCTCCTCCTCATCATCCTCCTCCTCCCTTGGCCAGGCGCCCCCAGAGACGGTGGGTCTCACGCCCTTGATGCACGCTGCCAACGGCGGCTACGCAGAGGCCGCCACTGTCGTCGTCGTTGCCGCCGCCGCCGTTGCGCCACCTTCGTCTTCTTCTTCTTTTTCGTCGTCGTCGTCGTCGTCGTCGTCGTCATCGTTTTCGTAGGAAGAGGGGGAGGGGGAGGAGGAGGAGGATGAGGAGGAGGAGGAGGAGGGGGAGGAGGAGGAGGAGGAGGAAGAGGAGGAGGAGGATGAGGAGGAGGAGTCGGAGAAGGAGGAGGAGTTGGAGGGTCCTGAGGGTTCAGATTACGCGGGCAGCTCCAGCTGCCCCTGCCACGCGGGGCGATGCCCGCCCTCACCACCCACGGGGGGAGTTTGACCTGCCCAGGCGGGAGCAAGAGAGCGGGCGCAAGCCGCCACCAGGGGCCAAG